TTAGTCACAAAGCATACTTCCTAACCATTATCCATTAATCATTCATGAAAATGCAAATGAGATATGAAATGCTTCCAAAGGGTCCTTATCACTCTAACCTAACCCATCCTTGTACGTTTAATCCCACTAGTGAATGTAAGCCAGGTTTTCAATTCTATGGAAAATCCGTCAGCGTTTATCTACAGTTCTCCAAGTACACGATGTAGGAAATTAAACACACCTACATATGTACCCAGAGAACACTGTAGAGAAATGAAAAGACACTATTTTCCGTAGAATAAAAAATAAGGCTTACATTCACCACCTAAGTGAGAATAAGCGTACAAGGACAGTCCCAACTGGGGACTATTCAAGACATACTCCTATTGTGTATGCCTTGAACGGGTATCTAGGCAAATGATTATGCAAATGATTCATTTATTATATATATATAAAGTGAAGGTCACATGCATTATACTAAATAGAGATTTATTATACTTAAACTAAATTAATATAAGCAAAAAAAGAAGCACAATTATTAAATGTTATAACAAACATTATATCAAACAAAAATATTAAACTAAATTAACTAACATACACAAAATTAAACTAAATATTTTAAAATAAACTAAACTAAATAAACTAACAAACACTACATTAAAATAAATAAACTAACAAACACTACATTAAACTAAAGTAATGGTGAAATAAACATAACTAAAATAAAATAAACTAAACTAACACACATTATCATAATGAACTATACAAAAATATGTTAACATGTTATAATACAACAATTAAAAACTAAACTTAAATAAACTAAATTAAACAAACATATCATAACATAAACACATTCATTTCAAATATTTCAACATATTAAAATATAAATAGAACTGATTGTATACACTACACAGAAAACAATAATAAACTAACATATATCTAAATACATTTATCAACTAACATGCCGAGTATAAAATAAACTTATAATTTTTGGTTTTATATAGTCTCTAACCTGTAGATCTGCACTAATTAGTGACAAACAACCAAGAAAATCTACAAATCCTACAAAAAAATGCAAATTAAAAAATTAGGAACTAAGTTTGTGCTGCCTATGTATATTAATAAAATTTAAATGCTATAAACATATAATTAAAAAAACCAAAAAAAAAAAAAAAAAACCAAACACACAACCTGCTGCCGGCGGTGGTTGGGCGTCGCGATGGTTGCAGACTGGCGGCGGCCTGGTGTCGCGGTGGTGGCTGTTTAATTAACAAAAAAAAATTATATAAACACCCCCAAAAACCCCCAACAACACCAAAGCAGTAAATAAAAAAAAAAAAATTTAGCTAACCACTTACCAAGACGGCGGTTTGGATTAATTCCGGTCAGCAATTGGTGTTTGTGGTGATATGCGGCGCAGCTGTGGAAATCTCTGGCGAACCCTACGGTGGTGGTTGTGGTTGTTAGGGTTTGCAAGATTTAAAAAAAAATAAATAAATAAAACAAAGCCTTACCTGCACCGGCGGCGAACAGGGGCGGCTGGTGGTGGAGCCGGAGGCGAATTCCCCTCCTCCTTTTCTCCTTCTCTCTTTCTCTTTCTCCCTTTCCCTCTCTTCCTCTTTCTCCCTTTCTTTCTCTTTCTCCTTTTCCCTCTCTTTCTTTTTGCTGGGTTTCTGTCGCAAAGAGGGCAGAAAATACAAGGGTTTTTTTTTTTTTTTTTTAATTTACTGAAGGCTTCCGACGGAATTAATTTCCTCGGAAATAACTTGTTCCGACGGAATATTCCGTCGGAACAAGTTATTCCGTCGGAACAAGTTATTTCCGAGGAAATTAAAATCTGTCGGAATGATACCTACGGATTTTTCCGTCAGAAGGTTCCAATTCCGACGGAATTTTCCTACACATCCAAATTTCGCCGGAAAGTTTGAAATTATCGAGGGGATTGAAGTCCGTCGGAAGAATTCCGTCGGAATTTAACCTTTCTCTAGTAGTGTTGTATGGAGTAAAGTAGGCACCAAAGCAATGGTATGAAAAATTTCATAGTACCATTCGTAGTTTCGATTTTGTTGTCAATGGTAGTGATGCACGTGTTTATTCTAAAATTTTTGGTAATCATTGTGTGATCATATGCTTGTATGTGGACGACATGTTGTTATTCAGTGCTGATTTGAGTGCTATAATTGAAACTAAGAAATTACTTTCCTCTAAGTTTGAAATGAAGGATTTGGGAGAAGTAGATGTGATTCTTGGTGTTAAGGTTGTAAGACCAAGAAGGGATATTTTCTGAATCAATCTCATTATGTAGAGAAAGTGTTGAAAAAGTTTGATTGCTTTGATGTTGTGCTTTTGAAAACTCCCTATGACAGTAGTATAGCTCTTGAGAAGAATCAGGGAAAAGTTGTTTCTCAGGAGGAGTATGCCAAGGTAATGGGGAGCTTGATGTTCTTGATGAATTGCACTCGCCTTGACATTGTGTTTGCTGTGCGCAAGCTTAGCCGATACACTCATTGCCTAAGTGACAATCATTGGGTAGCTTTGAGACGTGTACTAAGATATCTTCGTGGAACCATGAGTTGGGGTTTAGAATTTGTTGGTCGTCCTTTGGATCTAGAAGGGTATTGTGATGCTAATTGGGTAAGTTCCATTGATGAAGTGAATTCTACTAGTGGGTATGTTTTTACTCTTTGTGGTAGTGCTATATCATGGAAGTCTGCAAAGCAAATCATGTATTTCCAGGTCTACAATGGAAGCAAAGTTCGTTCATAGCTTTGGATCTTGCTACCTAGGAAGCAAACTAGTTGAGAAATTTATTGGCTGACATCCCTTTGTGGGGGAAACCAACACCACCGATCTCTATGAATTGTGATTCACATGCTGCTATCTGTGTTGCTAAGAATAGTGTCTACAATGGCAAGAAGCAGCACATACATGTTAGGCAAAAGTCAGTGAGACAATAGGGTTGTGTCTTTGGACTATGTCTGGACAGAGAAAAACCTAGCTGATCCTTTTACAAAGGGCCTATGCAAGAGAATGGTGATTGAATCGTCAACAGGAATGGGTTTGAAACCTTGCGCTGAACGGATGTGAGCTTTGTAAGTATTGATTAAACATTTTAATGTGTTATGATATGAATAAATCCTAATTTGCTGAATATTGTCTAATTGATAAATATTAGCTGGATTTATTGCCTAATTGTTTATACTTACATTTGATTGAATCTGATGACTCTTTTTGAGTGGTTGTTAACCAAGTAGATTCAAGGAACAAGATGAGTTTAGCTCTTAATACCTCTATCTCGGTAATCAAGAGTGAGGAGTGATGGTGGTCTTAAGTGACCTGGACTATCAGAGACTGTTTGAGTAGGGAATATGAGAGGTACCGAGGAGAAGAGGTTGGGTTTAGCCCTTAATGCTACGCTAAGCTAGATAGGTGTACTGAAAATAATGTTGAAAGGGGATGAACTTAATTGTTCTTAATGTTGAAACTCCGATGCATGAATAGTGCTTGAATTTGCAAAGTATTGTGAGTTGCACATATTTGCATGAATAGTTCTTAGCTTTACAGGAGTTGTGAAGTAGTTCACACGGAAACACCTGCGTGAGTACGAAGAATGGCGCTCTTCTAAGGAGAACAAGTATGGTTCTCTTGAAGTACTCATTAGTTCCTAAGAGTAGCCAAATTTGCGGAGTTTCTTAAGCTCTAAAGTCAAGGTATGTGTTTACAAGGTCCCTTCCTCGCTCCTAGAAGTTCAAATCTTAGGATACTCACTAGGGAAGTGTTGAAAACCTTGTGCATTAATGTGTTAGGTCAAATCTTCGGATACTAGCATTTAAGAACTGAGACTTTCATTAACTGTTCAGATTTATGTTGTTAATCTGCTCACATTAGTGGGGGATTGTTGGAAATGGTAATACAATCGGAAGGTTTGCAAAGCCGTAACAAGCCGCTCTCGTGAGGGATTAAGCGACACTTCGAAGGTACACTCGCGCCTGACCAGGCGGGCTTAGCCCGACCGGGAAAAATTGACAGCAGGAAAAGGGAGGCTCTCGCACCCGGCAGGGCAGTGGTTCGTTCGACCGGGCGGCAAAATCTAGTTTTGACGAGCCCGGCAGAGCGACCCTTGCCCGGGTCGCGAGAGTGAGATCGCCCGATCGGGCACGACACCTGGTATGGGAGTTCCATTCTCGCGCCCGGCCGGGCGGCCGGATGCCCGACCAGGCGTGCCTTTTCTTGGGTCGGTTATTGCTTACTTGTTTCCCTCCTTTGGGACTCATATAAATACGAGTGTGCTCTTCTTCTTTAATAATATAATATACAAGAAACCATATATACAAGACTACCCTTTGAGATCTGAACAGTTCTTGATCAATTCCAACCTTCGAGTTCGGGTACACGAATTGCGGAGGTCGTTGTGTAAAACTTGGGGGCGTGTGTCACTGGAGAAACTGTACCAGTGGTGGCGTATTTTGCTTCTAAGGCAGTAGGTTCCAAACCATGGAACAACAGAAGGAGGTCGGATCTTGATCGATTATTACGGTATTGCTTGTCTTTGTTCTTGCTTTCAACAAGTATTTTTCCAATAGAAACTAGATTTTTACTGTTAGCATTTATAAAAGTCTGACACTAGTAGATTTTTGACCATATGTTTGATACATAAGTATTTCATTTGTTAAATGTACCTTGTTATTTATAATGGTAAGGAAAATAGATTACATTGGAAGCAATCATGACGGAATTTATAATAAAAGTGTATATATTTTTTAATAAGGCAAGGAAAAGGAACATTAGGAGATCCTTCTCATAAAGGTAACACCTAATATATCAGAAGCAATGTGAGAAATAAACGAAAATTATTATGTATGTGGAACAATATTTGAAAATAAACTTGGTAAAATAGAATGCGTACCTTTTACTTATGTATTTTTTGTATGATAAAGGTAAAGAAAAGAGGAAGGTGAGGAGATATTACATGTCAAAAATTACATATCAATTTCAAATATTTCCTATATATATTTATGCAGGTGGGATCTAATACAATACAAAGGACAATTATACGACGCAATGTCTGTAGAGCAAGCATACGAAAGAGGGATGAAAACATGGGCAAAATGGGTAAGGAAATACGTAAACCCGAAGAAAACAACTGTGTTCTTTAGGAGCATTTCAGCACAACACAATGGAAGGAAAGGGTGCTATAATGCTACCCAACCTACCATGGACGACTCCTTAATAAACCATTTTCCGAAATCGTTGATTGATGTTATTGAGAAGGTGATCAAAGGGATGACCAAATCACAAGTAAAATACTTAAACATCACAAAACTTTCCGAGTATAGGATTGATTCACATCCTTCAGTGTATAGAAGTAGTTGGAAATGGAAGATTTATACAACAAAATATAAAAGTATGATTCCATCTTTTGCGGATTGTAGTCATTGGTGCCTTCCTGGATTACCCGATACTTGGAATCGTCTATTGTATGCTTCTCTTTTCTTTGATACTTCAAGGAATATGTCAACTTTCTAACATAATTTACTTTTCAAGATTTCATTGGCATTTTAAAGATGTGTAAATTTCCAATGTTTATTAGAAATTCTTAAAATTTGAGAATTTAATTTGTTACCTTAGTTTTGTATTGAGAGATTACATTACTAAGAGTCTCTCTCTTCATGTCTTTCTGGGTTTAATATTCTTGGCCATTTAGGCTGGAAATGGTGTATGTAATTTCCGCATGTTTTTATGTTTTTCTTTAAAATATTACAATTAGTTTCAACATTTCTGCACATGTTTTTTTTGTTTCATAAGAGCCACTAGGGCGGGGATGAGAATCGATCCTAGGATCACCTGGAACCGGGAGGAAAGCTCTTACCAACTGAGCTATCCCTCTCTCTATAGTTATTTCTGCACATGTAGTGTTAATGTTCCAATCTCCTTAATGTAGAGTTGTTGATTGTTCGTTCCTCTTATAGTTAGTTGTGGGCTAAGGTTTATTAATTAATCTATTTTTTCCCTATAACTGATTTGTTGGTAAAATATGATATGAGGTCGTAAAGGTTGTCAAATTTTCAAATACATTCTATTAATTACATGAAAATCATCCTCTTGGCAACAACAAATCATTAGATTGTATCTTCGAAAAGTTTATGTACTCTAGTGATGTGTGCGATGCATTTACCACATTGTAAAATTTATTTAACTAGTTATATATAATCATGTACTGATCATGTCCCTATTGACTGAAAAATTTCTAAGCTATTTGTATTTGTAGTAATAATAATAGTAGTAATAATCTAATATCATATCATATCATATCACTAATAAATAAAACCGGTCTCGCAGTCAGGCCACGAGATATCGACACTTGGCATTCCAGTTAGTCGCCAAGTGTCGTGCCACGTAGGAGATAAATAGGTATTATTGTGACACATATGATGCTAAGTAAGTGATTTTTTGATGGATTTTTTAAGATAAAATTGTTACATAGAGTTTTATTATCGATAAAATTTTAATATTTCATATATACAAAATTAATCATAACTTTTAATAAATATCCTATAACTCAATTCTATTTCCATCATCAAATTCGTTTTAAAAAGGTCGTTAAATAATATCCATTTATAATATATTTAATCACAAACTTTTATACGTAGCTGGTCAAACCGTGTCACCAACTATTACAATATCAGAGTTACTTCTTTATTGTTGTAGGGGTTACTTGGTCATTGTTATAGTGGTTACTTAATCATGTTATAGATAGGGGTTACTTAGTCAGTTTTAGAGGTTACTTAGTTAGTATTACAGAGGTTACTCGATCAGTTTTATAGGAATTACTTTATCCAGCTAGATGGTGTGGTTAGCCGCGTAGAAAATATATTGTTATTTAATTTATTTAAAAACTATTAGAGAATCAGTAAAATAAGTTTTTAACCAGTAAAAATAATTTTGGTTTGATAAAATACTTTCAGTTTAGTAAAAATAATTTAAATTCAATAACAATAATTTCAACTCCATAATAACATAGATATCTATTTACAAACAAAACTACAAAAAGTACATTATTCTATAAATAAGCGATATGATACGTATGTCTAAATACCCTGTATTATCAAAAGAGATTACACGATCGTATTATTGAACATTCAAGCCAAAAAGTTTATCCTAAAATTTTATCAACAATCTGGGCATCAAAATAGATATCTACTTACAAACAAAACTAAAAAAATTACACTATTATTTTTTACGGAGTATGATATTGTAAGTCTAAAATATCCTGCATTATCAAAAGGGATTAGATGACCATATTTCACATTCAAGTAAAAAGTTTATCCTAAAATGTTATCATCAATATGGGCATCGTCCGGGCACAAAACTAGTATATAAATGGAGTAGACATTTTTCGGGAGCATTCGGCGAGCCACCTAAGCAAAAGTATTATTCTGACGAATTAAAAATTAGATTTTTATTTTATTTTAGAATAAAAAAATTCACTCGCCACTTAAGCAAAAGTGGCGAATGTGATTTAAGAATTTTTCCACGTAGGTAAAAACAACAAATAATAATTTCTTAGGATTTAAATACTCTATTTAATAAAAAAAAACCTAAAAAATATCTTTTTAAGAAAAAAAACTAAAAGTTATCTTTATATATTATGATCTAAATTATTTAAAAACTAATAATTAGATTTTGATATTAGGATGTTATGTAGAAAATAATTTTTTCCCCCTATATATTATGGTAGGATCATCAACAAATTTAGAGTGTGTGTGATTGAGTTGACCATAGAGTCGTGCCGGTCAATCCCTAAAACTCTCATATTGGAGTCGAATGCTCAGCCTTGGTCATCCAGTTCGAACTTATGTCGTAGTGTGGATGACCCAGCAAAGAAGCAATATACAAGAATTAAAGAGCAAGGTGGGTTGAATCCAAATTGGAACCACACCTTTAGCATAAGGGTGAACAAGAATAACCAAAAGTTGTGTACGGTGAACATTGAAATATATTATGTTGCGGTCGGATTGATGAGCAAAGATAGGCTAATCGGCAAGTCTTGGTTGGAAATAACTTTACCCTATAATAATACTAAAGAGGAATTGGGGTATGGTATTTGTACAAACTATGACGTCAATGTAACATGACTGGATTTATTAACGTCCGCTCCTTTGTTAAATTAACTTTGAGGTACGAACCATACTACACAAGTTGATTTTTTCATTATTATTAACTAGTTAAATTCCCGTGCAATGCACGAATTTTACTAAATTATATAGTAAACTACAACATTAATTCCCGTGCAATAGATGCATGGTTGTTTAATACGGAGTGATTATATTACGATAAAATTATAAAACGACATAAAAAATTGAGGACTCAACACCAATTATTAGAAAGTATGAAGTATATAATTAAAAATAACCACATATAAAAATTATTTAATGAACAATTTAATATTTTAGAAAGTTTTGTTTAGATTTTATGTAAAGCAAATCTCATTATTTAGATACAATGATCTTTCATTACGGTAAGAATTTTTTATTTGAAGTAAATACTTTTGGAGGGAAAATACTCAATACAATGTTGCCAAGTGTCATTTTAGGTTCGTCTTTAGTAATATGTAATAGATGTTAGGTACTTTTTGAGTTCAATCTTTTTCGGTCTCTACCAATCAATCTATAACTATACTAAACAGAGGGCACTCAACCTACACCTTGACACGTGTCACTCTATGCTTAAAAACTTTCTCGCTCATTTTTCCACCTCTAAATATATCAAGTAAAATTGTGATATCGCAACATACTATAAATATGTATATTCATAATATATTCATTATATTTACAAAATAACTTTAAAAAATAATCTAATATAATATATTTATATAATTACAAAATATATATAACTATACTAAAACAGAGGGCACTCAAGCTACATTTTGACATGTGTCACTCTATGCTTAAAAACTTTCCTGCTCATTTTTCCACCTCTAAATATATCAAGTAAAATTACGATATCGCAATATACTATAAATATGTATATTAATATAACTAAGAAAATATATTCTTGCAAGGCAAAAAATATAGTATAATATATTCATTATATTTACAAAATAACTCTATAAAATTACAGGAACACCCCTAAAATTACCCTTCTATAAATAGGTTTTTACCCTTCCCTTTTTGGTCATTTCCAAAATTTAGAAATAGTCAACCGTTTTAGAGAGAAAACGTCGCCTGTGTATCAAGCAATTGCCTTCATTTTCTATTAGACACTGCCGGGCTACCGTCTGCATATTTCACAAACGGGGAATCATTTGAATCGCCTGAATATCTTTCAGACAATTCTCTCGCTTTCCAAGGGGTTACAGCCGGTACAACGTATGTGCCTTCAACAAACAGGAGAACTTCTAAGGACTGCCTGGGTACTCTCCAAGCAACTCTTCTTTTTCAAGGGGGTACATCCTTTAACCGTTTGTGCGTCTTGTAAGCAATTTCTTGATTTCTGCCGCTAGCTACAATCGGTCAACGCTTGACTGTATTTCAGCTCATCTTAGAGGTACTGTCTCTCCCCTTCTCAGCTCTTTCATATTTTTTTGTTTGCGTACATTTTGTTCCATAAATGGATTCACCAACATCACACATGGCACAACATAGTTTAGCAGGCAGCCGACCCCTTGGTACGACTGAGTCTAGGACTGGGGGTGCCGCCTCTAGGTACTTGGATCACTCTTGTTCATCTCCCAATCTAACCGTCTCCGTGTTTGTGCAGGACACTATGGCTCGGACCAGGTGGACGGCTGTAGATATGGAGTATAGGGAAGAGAGCACAGAAGGTGCGCTGCCTGAGGTAGAACAGGATGAGGATGCAAAAAGATTGGTGCACCCAACACTCCTAGTAACAGGATCCTTGAATTTGAGAATGGAGACGGTGAAGAAGCCGCCTCTGTATTTGGCTCTGAGGAGGCGGATGAAGATGTTCCTGAAAAAGACGGAGGTGAGACCGCCTCTAGGTCTAGGTCTGAAGAGAGCAACAGCTCACTATCTCAATCTGGTTGAGGATAGTGAGGAAGAAGAGAGGCCAACATGGAATAATAAAGGGGATCCGTTTTAAATCCATGTTTCTGCCAGAGACAGGGTAAATATGGAGAAGCACCTGGAGACCTTTAAATTTAAACATCCTCTAGGGGAGGGATATACCATCCAGATGCCGCCTGAGTTTGGAACCGTAGCCTAGAATGATGACCAGCCCAACGCCAACAAGTATTTCGGCTGCTATGAGGCGGCCTTTTTAGCTGGACTTCGTTTCCCCTTCCATGATACAATAAAGGCTATCCTGCGAGGATATGACCTAGGCGTGTGGTAGTGAACCCCAAATTCTTGGGTTAAGATCCTGGGCTACATCGCCGCTTGTGAGATGCAGGGTCTCCATCCCGACTGGGAGGCCTTTGCCACTATGCATTATCTGAGCCGTAGTCTAGGCGGGTGGAGAGCGTGGTATACTCTGACCACCTACCCCAAATACTTGATGACCCTAGACAAACTGTCTAAGTGGTCAGACTTGAAAAACCGGTTCTATCTGGTGTATGCCCCCAAGAAGCAAGAGAACTTAAAACTTTGCACGTATAACCGGAAATCGGATCTGCTGTGGCAGAAATGTAGGTTTCCATAAGTCCGGGATGAGGACTATGAAAAAATAATAGAGGCGGGATTTTTCGAACTTACAACCACTGCCCTCTCAACCGGGGAGTTGGTAAGTGTACCCTAAAAATTGGGTAC